GCCGTAGTGCTGGCAGTAGATCCGGTGTTTCTGCCGCCGCCAGATGATCCAGCTCTTTCTACCTGCCACGTCTCCCCTTTCTCCTTTAGGGGAGCACTGAGAGTGGATCGGGTAGAAGGAAAGGGTCTCTTGGGTTCTCATCCTCGCCCCATGAAGCGCTGCCTCGCACCCGGGTGGGGAGGGAGACTAGGTAGGTAGGTAGGTAGGTAGGTAGGTAGGTAGGTAGGTAGGTAGGTAGGTAGGTAGGTAGGTAGGTAAGATATCATCACCTCAGGGAGGGGGGCGATGATAACTTCCTCAATGGCTCAAGGGGGTGTTTCTTTCAAAAAGGTTAAGAACCACTGGTTTAACCCATAGCGCCACCACGTCCCTTTCTCTTAACCAGCATACTGAAGAGCATCTTATCCAAATGTTGGGCCATAATGTCAAGCAAACCATGTCAGCAAGGCTTTGGGGTCAGCAGAAGCAGAGAGTGTGATTTGATTCTCAGCCTACATCACTTTTGAAATTGCAGTCATTGCTCATACAGGGGCTGCAGATTGATTTGGGAGTTCACCCTTCAATCTGGATGTGATGTGATTCAAATTCCAGCCCAAAGTCCCCTTCTTTCCTTCCTTCTCTGGTCCCACCTCTGCCAATCCTTGTATAGGGCATAAATGTGGGAAATGATAGTAAAGACCCAGTGAAAGGTGATCCAGTGTGAGGTATCTTACATAAATGTAAGGTATTTTTAAAACTTTTTAAAATTTGAAAGATTATCACAGGAGAGGAAAGACATGTGGGGGCATGTTCTCCCTATCCTGAACACCATGTCCCAACTGTGTATGTCACCAAAATACCACCTACAGACATGCCCCCTGTCTTTGCAATAATGTATCACAACTAACTTCATGGGGAAAAGCCCATTTGAATTGTTCTGGCTTGAAAAAATTGAACCACCCCCCTGCCTCAGTGGCAGAGAAAAATCCCACTTTGGGAGCAAAAAGGGCTAGATTAATTCAAATCAGCTTTTGCATAATGAGGTAAGTAAAAAAATACTTTTAATTCACCTGCTTCATGAGAAGAAGAAATCCTAGGGTAGCTGACCATGTAGTTGCAGTCATAGTCAAGTAATACAATCCTTTTATTCCAGTCTTCTTCCCTTGGAGAGTGGATGAATCGATCCATATCCAATCTGCCTCAGGTTTATGCGTATTTAGTTGTGAGTTCCATTCCAGTTCCTCATTAATTTTCTTTAAAACCCCATGAACATTTACAGTGGGGTCTTGACTTGAGAACTTAATCCGTATTGGAAGGCGGTTCTCAAGTCAAAAAGTCTGTAAGTCAAGTCTCCATTGACCTACAGTGCATTGAAAACCGATTAATCCTGTAACAGGCTGTTTTTGTTCCATTTTGGTTTTTTTCTGGTCTGTAAGTCAAATCTCAGTCTGCAAGTCAAACCTAAATTTTGCGGCCAGAGAAGTCTGTAACTCAAAAAGTCTGTAAGTCAAGCCGTCTGTAAGTCAAGGGTCCACTGTATATTATTTTTTAAATCACATTTCCCTTGAAATGCCCCTTTTTGCAAGCATTTCCCCATATACACTTTCCCTCAACATCTTCCATAATATATGCATTTTAAGTCCAATTTCCCGTAATGTATAAATGTCTGTACACATTTTTGAAACAAGAACTCCATTGCAATACTTATGGAAATTTTAACATGAAGAATAACTGTTCTAATCTGCATACTAGCCTGCCAAATGATAATTAGGTCAGTTCACTTAAAAATGAAGATCAAAGAAAAATCTCCCCAACCTCCTTCCCATGCTATTCCACTGCTCCCAACTCCATACCCTCCATATGTATGCCCTACATGCTCAACTCTCTTTCTCTCCACAGGTAACACCTCACCATTATTGTTTAAATGTATTGATACGTATCTGCTAATTTCCAATTTCACATAATGCATTCTATACAGTTTTTAGTAGTAGCTGAGTTTGACAAACTATTTGTGATACTTTTGGCTTCTTTTGATGTATGCAGTATCATTGGCAAGTATTACTGCTTCCCTGCCAGCCTCTCTACTGTCAGAGCCATGCTTTCCAATGGCTCTTCTCTCCATGAAAACTCTCCAGCATCACTGAAGTGGGTTTTTCATGAAGTCCTTGAAATCCTTCTCGGCATCATCTGCCCCTTCACCTAAAGACATTACCCAAATAAAAGACCCATAGGAAGGAAAACAGCAAGACTATCCTGAAGTATAAATGATAGACTATAATGCTTAGAGAGAGAGAAAATAGATTTCTTGAACTGGACGATATACTAATTTTAATTAAGGCTTGCTGTAGGGTTTCTCCTAATTTAATAAAATGGTGGCAGGGAGGATATGTGTCAATGTGAAGAATCTGGGCTATAGCTGAGATGGACAGTGATTGCATTGCATGTGTGTGAATAAAAAAGAAATGTGCAGTGTATTTATACAACTCACCTACTGACAAGAAATGACTAATGCTTTGTGATAAAGGGGGTCAGAGACAAATTCTGGAGGCATCTGGACAGAGCAGATCATCTGTGAGGATGAAGGGTTAAGATAAGATGGGGGGCACTGAATAGGGTTGCCAGGCCTCAAGGTACTGTCTGCAGTCTTAGGGAACTTCCATACTTCACTGGCTGTCCAAACCTGGAACCTGATCTCTCAGTGAGCCAGGCTGGAGCAAGAAAATAGCTTAATTTAAAATTTAGTTTATCAAACAAGTGGTGCTAAAGTTTGGGCACCAATCTGGTGCCAGGGCTCACTGTCTTCATGCTATGGTTTTTGTGCATGTATGTGTTGTTCCAAATGACACAGTGGGCGGATGTATGCACACACAACAACACTCTCCCCAGTAACCCCACCCCTGGCCTTTTGGTCTACAGACATTGGGATGAAGCATTGGGGTAGCATTTCAGTACCGTATTAATCCTCTGCTCCTAATTGTCTGAACTGTCGAATCCAGCAGCGGATGATCACATGAAACTATTGGTGGTGCATCTCTGAAGTGAGAAGCACAAAGACTGGCCTTACTGGCTCTCACTCTTGTGATTGCTTCCCCTTCCTTCATAACCTTCTTCTAAAGTTGCTAAATGAGCTGACCCTACCTATCTTGCTCCCGAGCCTATCTGAGAGGGAAGGCATAGCCCAATAGGGGAGAGCTGCCAACGAGCCAAAGCTGCCTGGGTCCCTCTCACTAAAAGGCAGAACCGCTTCGGTTTGCAGGACTAGATGAGGATAGAATCTCAGGTGGCAAAAGAGAGGGCCCAATTTTATTTCCTCAGATCCTTGCTACTTGCCAGAGGTGGGAGTAGGGTGGAAGGATCATTTTTAGGACCTTTTCTACATGGCGTGACTCATCCAGATAGAATGTGGCATCCCAGACAACAAGCTCTTTCTGATGGTGAAACAGCAGCTTTTAAATATCACTGGTACAGTGGAATTCTTGCCCTAGGACGTTTGACTGCTTGTCACAGATTTCTGTGGCTTAGGAAGTGGTGGAGCTAGTTCACCGTCAGGTATTGCCTGGTACCTGTGGCATCACTGGGAGTGAGGCATGTCCTGACACCTCCCCCTGCACCTCCCTATGCCATTCTGAATGCTTTTCCAAACACCTTTCCTTTTGCACCCTTCTCTCACATTCAAAGGCTCCCAACAATTATATAGAATTAAGGCTGATTCCGGAAAGAAAGTCCACCTCACAAACATCTCAATTAGGACCAGATGAGAATATAACTGAATATATGGTTAGAAGCACTGAGAAGCTAAAGTCTTGAAGTTATGACCTTCAGATCAAATGTTCTTTGAATGTGGAGGCCTTTGCTAACTCCTCTTGGTTGCTTGATGTCTTTGGAGGTTGTAGATATTTTCCCCTTCCTCTAGAGGGGCTATAAAAAGGAGATCAGTTTGGGCTCCTGCAGTTCAACTAATTGAATCCTTTCTCACATTTAAAAGGACAAGCCCAAATTGTTTGCTTGACTGAACCTCTTCTGATGAATTGCTTGTACTTGTTTACTCCTCTGTTTTTGGCCCTAAGAGTTCACAAAAAAACAACTGGAATCAAACAAGAATTAATTTAAAATTATGGCTTTAAAATGTAAAAATTTAAAGAAAAACCCATAGGAGAAGAAACCAGAAGGGCAAATAACAGCTTCCAGAAACTGTGGCTCTGGGTTCAAACTCTAAACCAGAGGTGGATGCTTATGATTCTCTGGATGTTTTTTGGATTAAAAAATAATCATCCCTCACCATTGTAATGTTAGCTAGGTTTATGGGACTTTTGGTATAACAACATCTGGAGGACCACAATTACCTTATCAAATAAGGTCAAACAACAAAGTTACAACCAAAAGCAGAGGGTGTTTTTTTTTAATACAAAAAGGAGCCAGTTTGATCACCACTGAAGAGAGGGGAAAAACTTCATAGGTCAGGGGCTACCACTGAATGTTTCGCTTCCGCTTGATGGTGTTCTTATATATGTTGATAAACAGAACATGCAGCTGGACTAGATGAATAAGTCTTAGTGCTATATGGTCTATAGAAGAAGATGCTTCCTGAAATATCTTACTATTTCTTCATGAATTTTTACCATATTCCCCTTTAATACATATTCAGATTGGGCCTTTCATGAGTGTTTATGAGAAACGGATTTAAAATTGCATTTAAAACAGTATTCTCCTTCTTAGAGCCCTTTTCCTACAGGTAACTTTTAAAGATAAGCATATATTTGCAGGAAACATCTTCAAACTGGTTTTATATAATTGTCAAATAGGTTATTTCATATCAGACATTCAGAAGTAAAGAACTTACAATAGCAAAATGACCTGAAAGAAATAAAGGTTGTACTTGTAGTCACTGCTGTGTATCTGCTTTAAAAACAAAACCAAATTATGTGCAATCCCACATTCTGTGTTAATAGTAGCACTCCAATTTTACACTAACAACCAATTACCTAAATCATGCCTACTGCATACCATCTGATTTTATAGAAGACAACCTCTTTGGCACAGAGTATTCACAGGAGCAAGAAAATAAAGTATGATCTGTTGGAGCATGAATGTTGGAGAGAAAGAGAGGAAAACTGGAAATATTTGTTTTTAAAAAAGAAAGAAAAGAAAATGGGAATTGACTAGAATGACATAGGGGTGAGACATCTGTACTGCATGACCTATGTGTAAACACATGAGGGATCACAATCGTAATATTGGAGAACCAAAGACCTAAAAGCTTTGTAAATAAACTGATTCTGAGTACAAACAAAACCACCACTTCTCTTAGCCTGTTGGGCTGCATAATTTAAGTCTCCAATGCATGTCCATCGGTCTTCAGGTTTCAAGGAAACGCACCACTTAGAATGATCATAATAGGAGGAGAAGGAAGAATTCCATGGTATCTTGATTTGTTTTATGTTGTAGACATGGTAAGTAAGAGAGCAATTTGAGAAAAGGCCATGACCCTTGTGATGCCAGGATTCTATTAGAAAATCTGTTTTCAATTTCTGAGCCATCCAGTCTAGGTAGATATCTGGCAAAATAGGAAAGAAAGAAGGAAGGAAGGAAATAAATAAATTACCAATCCAATAATAGTTGGACAGAATTGTATTTCATAACCTTGGGTCAGCATAATCCAGATCAAGCACTAGGAACATTTAATTTAAACCCATTGGAAGTCGCCTATCTCTTCTTTTCAGGTTCCTGGGCTCCCCAGGGCTCCCTTTTGACCTGGGGTCCTATCTCTTCTTTTCAGGCTCCTGGGCTCCCCAGGGCTCCCTTTTGGACCTGGGGAACCCTTTTGGAGCCTTAGGATGGGGAGGTATGAGTTTTTAATAGCAAAAAAATCGCTGCCAGATCACTACCAGAAATGACTCTTTTGGAGCCTTGGGATGGGGAGGTATGAGTTTTTAACAGTACTGTAAAGAAATCGCTGCCAGATCACTACCAGAAATGAGACTGCCGGCAGCCATTTTTTTCATATTAAAGGCTTACCACCACCACCACATTCTGAAACTCCCAAAGGATTCCCTAGGGCAGAAAGGATCCCTAGGTGACCTCGGAACCTGAAAACAGTTGATAAGAGACTTTCAATTAGTTTAGATTAAATGTCTCCTGGGCCCAAACCAGGTTATGCCAGTGCAAAGTTATGTCAACAGGATGTGAGGCTGATGCAAGAATAGAAGTACAGTATTTGGTTCACATTCTCACAGCTTAATGAGGGGCAAAAGAAATGCCATGTTCCTTCTACTGTCAGGCTGGAATAGGAACGGTCTTCTGCAAGGCCTCAAAGTTCCAACCTCTCTCAAAGTATTTAAGTATTGTTATAGGTATTATTTTTTAAAGTAGCTCTTTCTCTTTTCTCAAAAGTACCAAATAATTACTTCTAGTTATTTTTAAAAACGTCTCCATGCTTGCTGGGTTTTGGTACAAAACACACCTTTCTTCCATCTACCTCCAATCCTATTCTTTCCTCAACACCCATAGGAGACCAGAAGCCAGTGGTCCAAGGTAAAGCATTAGAAAACACTTGAGTCACGTGATATTCATTCTTCAACATTTACTGAGCACCACAACTATATACCTTCTTTCACCAAAAATAAGACCTAGCCTGAAAATAAGCTCTAGTAGGATTTTTCAGGATGCTCTTAAGCCCCAGTTAAGTGAAACTCCACCCTCCACCGTTGTGCAGCAACCAGAAGAAGATGACATGACAGTATTTGAATAAATGTAGATTGTTCTACAAACATCCCCCGAAAATAAAAGCAAAAAGCGTGCTGCTTATATAATGTCCCATAGTGCTTCAAGCACTCTATGGGCGGTTTACAAGTTAATTATGCAGGCTACACATTGCCCTCCCCAGCGAGCTGGGTGCTCATTTTACCGACCTCGGAAGGATGGAAGGCTGAGTCAACCTTGAGCCGGCTACCTGGGATTGAACCCCAGGACGTGAGCAGAATTGTGACTGCAGTACAGCAGTTTAACCACTGCACCACGAGGCACAGTGGTTAAAATGCTGTACTGCAGCCAAATAAGCCCTAATGCGTTTTTTGGAGCAAAAATTAATATACAGTAAGACCCTGTCTTATTTTCGGGGAAACACAGTAAGTCACTATACATGTTACATGACCAAAGTAATATAATTATCCCTTAATAAGTTACCACTGATTTAATTATACCTTCATTACTGAAAAAGGGAATGAACTGTAACTAATTTTTTTTTGTAAACAGTTAATTCCAAGCTATACTCCTTTTCTGTCTTCATATAATCTCTGTTCTAGGCATGCATAAAAGCAAGCTGGGTGCAATTAAAGAGTGAAATGAAGCAGCTGAAAGAGGAAGCCATGACATTCCTAGGAGCCCTCATATTTTCTCCCCTTATAAAGCAAGCCTAGCACTGACAGAATATAACTGATGTAATTCAGTTCCTTCACCTGTTCCTCCTTTAGGATGTGGTATAAGTATTAGGAGTTGGTCTAGGCCACTGGTTCTTAACCTTGGGTTACTCAGGAGTTTTGGACTGCAACTCCCAGAAGCCTTCACCACCAGCTGTCCTGACTGGGGTTTCTGGGAGTTGCAGTTCAAAAGCATCCGAGTAACAAAGGTTAAGAACCAATG